ACGACGCAGAAGACGCTCTCGAAAGGGAGGCGACGACGAGTGAAGACAGACCTCAGCTCTGATGGTCTCCAAAGATATCTCTGAGAATTCATTTCCAAATTTGTAGTCATTTTTATGAGATTTTTGTGAAATAAAAACCGTTTGAAAAAACATTTAATTTTGAATTCATTTATAAATCCTAAAGATTTTATAACCAATTGAAGGATATTATGAATATGTGTCAAAACATCACTTATAAAAGGTCTGAATTTAAAGTGTAATTATGAATACAGTATTCCTCTAGAAATGAGATCATAATTTCATTTCTGCCAACTCTTGGTATGAGTTATTGGTTGTCATTATCTGAGGGTATTTTATATTTCTCCCAATCATTACAACATAAGGCTTATGAATGGGATAAAGGGTTTAATAATTGGGTGACGTTCTAGTAATGGTACCCGTGAATACATTGTTAAAAATAATTTTTTAAAAGTTAATTTTGTTATACATTAAATTTGTATAGAATGCAACCCTAAACACGAATTTAATAATCATTTATTTTTATCTCAAATATTTTTCGACTTATTCGACTATAAACTATTGTTTTATAAAATGTTTATTTGAATAACTTTTAAACTATTAATTTGATTTGAAAATTGATTTCATANTATTTTTATCTCAAATATTTTTCGACTTATTCGACTATAAACTATTGTTTTATAAAATGTTTATTTGAATAACTTTTAAACTATTAATTGGATTTGAAAATTGATTTCATATCCTTATTCAGCGTCAAATTCTACATCGAATTAATATATAATATTAATAGATCACGTAAATAAATTATTTCCGAACAAAAAGTTCTAAGTCGAATAAGTCGAAAAATATTTGAGATAAAAATAAATGATTATTAATTTCGTGTTTAGCGTTGAATTTCACATAAGAATAATAAAAAATATACGCGGGTACCACTACTAGAACGTCACCAATAATTGTCTGTATATATAAATTAAATTCAAATTATGTTAAATATAACGGAAATTATCTAAAATTAACGGAATTTAAAAAAATATACGAATTTCTCATTTTTGAACCAAAATCTGAGATATTCTTCTGGTGTGAAGACATTAATTGAAGAGATTTTATTGAATTTTAATACAAAATTATTGAATCATTGATTAGCCATTGATTAACAGCACAGTTCTTGCAATACATGAAAATAATTGGACTTTAATTACAGAATTCAATATTTATTAAACGCTTTCTTAAGAGTTAAGAAATACTTTCTATAATTATCTCAAATCAGATGAAATGTCTTCGCATTCATTAAAATCTAGTGTTAAAATTTGAACATTAGATCGAAATACCATTAAATGAGTGATTAATTTACAGTTATTTTAACATTTATAGCAATTATGGAAATAATCATTAAATCTATATTTCAACACAATTTTTACCAAAAAGTGTTTTACAAAAGATTTAATAAAAAAGTAAATTAAGTAAATGAGACAAAAGTTTGATTTTTAATTCAAGACTTTATTTGGTTTTATTTACAAAAAGAAACTAATTTTGATATAAAATGCAAAGTCTTTGAATAGAAACTGAGAGTCTTTGAGGAGAAACGACATCTCATTCTTCTTCACTTCCAGAGCGCGATCTCCTTCTCCTTCTGCGTCTTCGGCCGCCCTTCGAGTGACCGCGTCTTCGGTGTCGACGACCAGAACGGGAACGACGTCTTCGTCTTCCGCCCGAACGGCTTCGACGCCGGCGTCGGCTCTCAATCACTTCACCGCCCGATCGCAGCGGAGATGTCGTCTCCTCTTCGGAATCGATTTCAACGATTGCTTCCATTCTTTGACTCAAAATTTTGTGATATTTACAGAAATATATAATTTTCCTAACGATTGATGAGATTTTGATTTTAGTTTTTCTTTTTATACCCAAAATCTACACAACAATACATTGAATGCATATTTCGTGCAATTAATGAATTATTAATTGAAATATATATAAATTGAATTCAAATTATGTTAAAAATAACGGAAATTATTTCAAATTAACGGAATTTTAAAAGATAACGTCTTTTTTATTTTTGATTCAAAATCTAAGATATTCTTCTGGTGTGAAGATATGATTTAAATTTGAGTTTTAGGACAAAATCATTTAATTATTGATTAACCATTGATTAGTCACTGATTAATTAGTCTTGTAATACATAAAAATAATTAGACTTTAATAATTAAATTCAACATTTATTAAACTTTTTCTTCAGAGTTAAGAAATACTTTCTATAATTATCTCAAATCAGATGAGATGTCTTTGCGGATTCATTTACAGTTAATTTAATATTTATAGAATTATGGAAATAATTTGAATCTATAATTGGATATAATTTTGCATAAAAAGTGTTTACAATTTAAATAAATGAGACAAAAGTTTGATTTTTAATTCAAAAGACTTTATTTGGTTTTATTTACAGAAAAACTAATTTTGATATAAAATGCAAAGTCTTTGAATTCAAACACTGAGTCTTTGGAGAGGAGAGACATCTCATTCTTCATCACTTCCAGAGCGCGATCTCCTTCTCCTTCTGCGTCTTCGGCCGCCCTTCGAGTGACCGCGTCTTCGGTGTCGACGACCAGAACGGGAACGACGTCTCCGACATTTGCCGCCCGAACGGCTTCGACGCCGGCGTCGACTCTCAACCACTTCACCGCCCGATCGCAGCGGAGATGTCGTCTCCTCTTCGGAATCGATTTCAACGATTGTTTTCATTTTTGACTCAAAATTTTGTTGATATTTACAAAAATTTAAATTTTCCTAACGATTGACTGATTTTTGAAATGACTTCTCTTTATATACCCCTTAAACACAACAATACTTTACATTGAATGCATATTTTGTGCAATTAATGAGCTATTAATTGAAAAATATTTAAATTGAATTCAAATGATGATAAAAATAATTGTATTTTAACAAAATATTCAAAATATTCAAGATAACAAAATGTTCATTTGTTACTTTTAACAGATAATACATGAATTATTTGTCTGATGTGAACACTGGTGACCGGCGCCCAGTGTTTGGTTACATTTGACGACTACCGGCGCTGCAAACACTGGTAATCAGGAGTTTGAGTGAATCTCCGAGAGATAATGATTTTGAAGACCTCCTGTCAAAAAGTCCTAAACTGAAGTTTTAACATTTTTTGTGCACTATTTTGTACTCTATATTTATTTTCATTTTTATTGAAATTTTAATTCATATTATAATTGTTTATTTATTTTCAATTTATTTCAAGGCATGATTTATTTCATTATTTTGTATTACAATTTGTTTGTTATTTAAATTGCAATATTTTTATTCTTTACATTTTCGACATCTCACAATTCAAGAGCATTACACTCAGAAAAAGATTTGATAAAACAATCATTTTGGACGAAGAAATGTCAAAATCAAATCAAAATGTGATGTAATGAAAGTAAATTTCATACAGAGTCTAGTGATGTACTTCATATGATTAGCCGACCTCGTGTTTGGCCGCAGTGACTACTTTTATTACTAAATATACAATAATTGTACAATTAGTACAATAATTATATGGTTAACTAATAATACACTATCATCTGTATCTAAGTAAACATATTTATATCATTTGGAATATAGTACCATGGTGAAAGTGTTATGATGTTTGTCTAATAGACTTTACATGATTACTAGTATTTATGAACAATTTGAAGGTTATGTAAATATTTTTGAATTTTTTAATTTGTGAATTATTATATTACTTATAACATGGCTTGTAATATATGCTGTTTTACCTTCAATGTTCAATACAGGCCTGACATACGATTACATAAAATAATTATTTTGTTTTTTATTCAACAGGAAAAAGCGTTTTATTTATTAATAGGTTTTCTATACTATTATTATAGATATATTTTGATTAATTTCCTCATTCTTTACAATTGTTTGTATAATATTTTATACTATCATTGCTTTCGTTGTATTAAGTCTAATAAAACTCTGTTTAAATGCATTTTATTAAATATTAAATAATGTTTTATTTAATTAATTTCTTAATACAGTTATAAATTCACATGTATAGCAATGGATATTTAAATTACAAGTAAGTTTTTTAATTGTTTTTTATATTGTACGTTTATTAAAATTTTTGCACATTTTAAATTGTTGGTAAATTGTTTAAATGGTTATATTCAACAACTTTATTCAATGCATTTTTTAATTTATAATTAATGATGTATTATAATTTGCATTGAAAATGATACATGTAATTAGTATCTGAATTATTATTATAATTTATCTGATGGCAAGTAATTTGTGTCCACACGTTTGTTTATGCTTCATAATTGTCATTTAATTTTCAATAATTATTTTAAATGTGATATTAATTTAATAATTATAATTTGGGATATATTTGTATTAAACATACAAATAAATAATTTAATAAATAATTTATAAAAACAATTTTTTATTGGATTACAATCTGATTTAAATTATAATGCGGTAAATAATAGTGTTTATATTTAGATTACAACAAATTATTATTTATATAAAACAAATAAATTAAGGATAACTTTATTGAAATAAACAATTTAAGTGAATATTTGTCTACAATAATTTTATATCTATATTATTACTGAAGTGATTGGTAATAATATTGTGGTTTAATTTACAAATACATTACAAAATGATTTGCATTTCATATATACTATCATATAATTCAACACGTGATATGAATTTACTTTCCCGGTCCTCCTGTTTGTCATGAAATTAACCATTTTATTCATTAATTCACACCAAGAAATATATTTGTTATATTTACCCAAAAACTCTGAATATTTCTTTTGTACGCCAAATCGGGATGACATCCGTTTCTTTCCCGGTCCTCCTATATATGCATTACGTGTTCATTGATTTGAATACAATTACAACAATTGAGTCAAACAATAGACAAACCTAGAAATTCGGACAGTCTTTTGCTCAACTCATAGTTGCTCTCCATTTCAGACCGCTTTCCCGGTCCGCCTATAATAACACAACAACTGTTCAATAAATCAATTGTTTTAATGATATATGAATTAGACTTTTATACCGAGAAATTCCGATAACCTTTTGTTGTAATAAAGGTTTGTGGGAATCATATAATCATACGATTCTTGTGCTTTACTCGAAGGGTTTCTTTCAAACTCTAATTAAAATCAAGACTTAGGCTATAATTATATCAGTTTTTGTTTATTTCATATTTTTCTTTCAAATAATTTCAATTCAATTAAATTGAAGTTATAATGAAAACACAAAAATACAGACCATTATCTGCGATGACGACCATTGATACTATAATTAAATTCGTGATCGCAAACCATACCAATAGATTTCCCAACACTCGGCCGTATATTGAGTTCATATTTGATGAAAATGTGATGTTCTTTGAGATATTTTTAATTAATTTAATTAGATATAGATTTCATCGAAAACATCAATTGTTGTGTAATTAATGTTTAATATTTCTATGATTTCATTTGATTCACTAAATATTATTAAAAATTTATTAATAATAATCTAAAAATGCATTTGTGTTTGACGTCTGAGAGGAGAGAGAGAGAGAGAGAGAGAGAGAG